ATTTGACCCTCCACATGACTCACAAATAAAATACGGGAAGCTGTGAAATCTAAATGCTCAACAGTCCTCTAACAATGAGAACTCGTTTACTGTATTCTTGAATTTCCCCCAGTTTTTCAGTAACCTTGTCACAATCGCCACAGCCATTTTCATCTCGGCCAATAAACCCATGAACCTTACAGAATTCAATTTCAGGTGCGTTCTTGCCACGATGTGATCTGGAAGGTTACTACCGTCCTGAACAGTGTCACAACGGGTACTGTTGGTGTGTTGATCGATTTGGACGTGAATTCGATAAGTCTCGTACCAAAGGCGAACTCCCCGATTGTGGACAGTACGGTAAGTGGTGCTAAAATCGACAACCTTATTACATACAGGGTTAACCGTCCGTTGGTACAAGTCCCGGGTCGTATTTGCTATTTTAGCAGAGTCGTATTTGTGTAAGTTGAGGGGGTGGTGGTTGTTCGAGAAGAAGACGGATTTTTTCAGAATTTCGGAAGAAATTTCAAAATCTAGGCATGAAGTGGTCAAAACGAGAGAATTTGTCGCCTTGTAACCTTATTGGACAAGTTACCACTTTCACTCCCCCTCCCCGTTACTTCGACTGGTCTCAGAATAAAATACTATAGAAACAACCTTGAAGGGCTGAGGGTGGTGATCGGAACCGAAAGGGAGCGTTCGTATTGGGGGACTCCTCTGAGGCCGATGGTGGTAGTGGGGGCGGTATCGAAACCCCTCTGAGAAAGGGGTCGCAAAGTCCTGGGAAGGGAGGGGTCGTAAACTTTTCAAAAAAAGTGCTAGCGCTAGGATTACCCTGGTTCCAATTACTTTTGGTCAACTGAATTTGAACAGTGAGAGATTTGTGCTAAACAGTCGATTCCGCCCATTTCCATGACTTCATATGTCTTCGAGATTTTTTAATATTTCGCATTTTATACTTCGGGTATTAACAATATTTTCGTGATTTTTCAGCCAATGAACTCAGCGATGAGGAGAAGTCAGATCTTGAACACCGCCTTTAAGTACTGCACGTTTTCAGTACTGAGTTACTGCCATATTCTATTCATTTTGCTTTACTCTACGGCACTGCCTTTTAGTACTTATGATATTTTTTGTAGCGTCGAATATTTGATAAACCTTTTTTGAGTTTCCTATTCGCAAAACGTTTCAAAGAAGTCTCTTCATCATTCCAGCAAACAATTCTTTATCCATTCAACCATAGAGAATCGCATTCTTTCTGAAGGCTGCTTTTACCTTCTTTTTTATCTTTCGTTACCCCTTTTTGAATAGGTAGACAGACACAAAATCAAAGGTGTATGGCCATTGATGCTCTATGAAGAAAAAACCAACAAAAAAAAATGGCTCGCGACTCGGAAAATGAGACCCCTTTTTTGCCTAATGATTTCCGCATTGGGGCGAGTCTTATTGGTGCTCTGCTGAACGCTCTGCTCTGTGTCTCTATTCAACGGCTAGTGCTGGCAACTGGGATCCCGACGGCGAGGGTGCCCGGCCGGAGGGCGGGCATGGAGCGAGCGCCACGGGTGAGACCTAACCCCTAAGGGCCCGTCCACCTTTGCAGTAGGTACAACTCAACCTCTCCTGTCCTCCAATTTGTGATGGAATCCCCCTTAGAGGCGTATGCGCTACGCTGAGCGGCCACTCAAAAGCCGTAATAGCGAAACTGTGAACCTAATGACACTGTTGCTTGGTAGCACTAACCAACAAATGACTGCTGAAGGTTGAATTCGATCTCACCAATCAACTGTGTCAAGCCGTTGGCGCAGTTAGCCACTACGTTATCCATTCTTGGCATTTTAAACAGATTTTCTCGTAAGACATAGCCTTTCTTCAAAATAAACTGCGCTTTATTGTGTACAGAACAACTGAGAATTTCATTAAACAAAACTATGCACATAAAGAAAATGAACTTCTAAAATCAGGTGAAAAACGGTGCAGACTATGCCATAGTATTTTGTACAAAGTAGTATTTCCCGGTATTATGGATATGTTATTTGAACGTCATGTTTTTCCTGAATCATTTTAAAAATAACACATACACTTCAAATCAGGCGGAGAGAACTTCTCGAAATAACACGCGCGCGGTCGCGACGCGGCAGCATGCATGCAAGCTCAGTCGCGTCGCGACCGCGTGCGCGCGCCAACTCCTTGTGACGGATGCGTATAGTGATGAATGGACCTAAGAATGGGGATCGAAATTTTCACGTTTCTGGAGTAGCTCCCCTTTCTCGACTTCCTTATATTCCACGTCTTCAGCAAAAACGCCAAGGCGTTCATTCGTCACTTTGCCGCAGATGAAACCGTCACTGTGCAGAAGACGAAGAAATAGCGCACAGTTTGTTGCCAGAAAACATAAATTGCACACCATTGACAGAATAAAGAATAACCTGTAAAGAGAACCCATTGACTATTGATTTTTCTGGCAGCCCTAGGCGATGCGTCCTGCTACGCGCGCATTCGCGTCACATGAAGAGGACGCTAAACTTCACTCACCAGTGGATGTTGTAAATGTTGACGAAAGACCAAAGCGTCAAAAATGCTTGATTAAAAAATCGGAACGGAACGAATGCAATAATATTGACATAGGATAGCACCTTATAAAGGCTAATCATGGACGTGGTCGACAATTTGCTTTGATTCAGTAACCCTCGGCTATGTAGGAATATCGATGATACCTGAATAGAAGTGATCAATCAAATCCAAGTTTTATCCTGAAATGTCTACACAACAGATGTCATCATCATCTCTAGGCAGGTGATGGGAAGATAGCGAAAAGACCCGAAGAAAGGCGATCAACCTACTACCCACGAGCAATACAGTATCAGAGAGCGCCACGTCCCAGAACACCTGATCCACCTGGTGAAGGTTCTGTACAATGAGGCTAAGCAGCCATACCGCCTAGCCACTTGCCTTGCGAAGGAGTAAGCGACACGGTTGGGGTGCGCAAGGTTCAACTGAAACAGTTCCTCTCTTGCCTGCCTCTAGATGCCGCTCAACCGAAGGCGGTCAGAAGGACACTAAAATTCATCCTCTAGACGCCAAGCATTACCCTGATAGCGGCTAGCGCAGAGAGAAACTCCAGGCGCGTTCAGAAGTGGCAGGTAGTGCTCGTAGAAAGCGGCCTGCGGTTCAACGTAAAAAAAAAACTACGTTCGTAAGCTCTGAAGAGAGTACAGAGCCGATTGTGGACGGGAGTGAGGAAGGCATCGAAAGGGTGCCGGACCTCTAATACCCGTTGAGAGCGCTCTAGCAGCCGAAAGAAGTGTGGATCAGGCAGTGAAGGCACGAATCAACGCGACCTGTATGAAGTGGAGAGAATCCACAGGGATCCTCTCCACTTCATACAGGTTGCCTTGATTCCTGCGACCGAAGGTGCTCCTAAAGAACGCTCACAACAGGGAAGAATGTACCGAAGTGGTCAGTGCCTGCGAGCGAACGGCAGCGAGTGCTGGCCCCTAAACAAGAATCACGAAAGGCAGCTTCACTGGCCGAGATGAGGATGCTGAGGGGCCTGCGGCTGGACGCGACTGGACAAGGTCAGGAACGAGGATGTCAGAGCGGTCATGCAGACTGCTCCCTGTCCAGCTCAAGGTATGAGGGAACAAAGACTGCGATGGTATGGACATGTGCTGAAGGAGGCCACAGGATCCATCCTATACGAAAAGCAATGCACTATGAAGGGCAGGCCAATCGACCCCGAGCAGCTCCCAAGAAACGATGGAGGGAGCCATAAAGACAGGTTAAAAGAACAGCGGCCCCTGCGACAGCGCGCCAGATAACGGGAAAATTGACAACGACAATTATTCTTTATCTGCTATCCAATGTAGCCGAAGGCGCCCTTCAAAATCAGACCGCCCAAAAACCCAAAATATGCTCCATTATTTTATTGAAGTCAATACAGTCGAACGTTTCAGCAAACCTCCATCATCAGAGCCCCAATAAGCGTAAAGCAGGAATTTGTGTGAAGCCAACACCATTGACAGGAAGATTACCGAGCAGAGATGGTGAATCATCAGAACAACGCTGCTCACATTCAGGCTGAAATTGAACTTTAAGGGTCTCGGGAACAAAAAATTGTACTGTAGACGGTCCTAAGTACTCACGTTTCATTGATGACCATATCAATCGAGTCATAGATAAAATAACCCATAGAGAGGAGAATAATTTGCAGTTCAAGGTAGCTGTAGTAATGGTATGGTGAGGCAAACATCAGACGGGTGTTTCGACAAAAATACACAAACAAAAATGCGCCGGAAATCTGCAAAAGTTGAAGCTCATTCCGCCCGCAATCAGTTATCTCTTGACAAGCGAGCGCGCAGCAATTTGCGTAGACTACGTGCACGCAAAAGATACCTATCGATCGCTCTCATTAGCACATGTTCAATATTTCACTATTTCTGGCGTTTCGAGGGCGCCTTCAGAAAAGATGTGGCGTTTTTGCTCGAAAATGCGCACAGCTGCGCGTTGCTACTGGCGAAAAAACACTGAAAACAAAGACCTCTTTTTTGGGAGGTGGGCAGCACTTCCACGAGGAAGAACTGAACGCTGAGACTAGTGAATAGACGCGAGTGCACAGGGGACAGGAGAGACGCAGACACCCCACCTCACCACTGCATTGCAAGAAACAATATCAAGTGGTGCTGCAATTCACAAGATGCATGAGCAGTTCTCAACAAAGGGGTGTCGTATTAGGGGCTGGTAAAAGTCAAAAGACAGGAAAAGGGGAGATCGTATTTTTCGTAATTTTGCAAATTGGATAGGATTGTGGTTGTGGGAGAGGGATCGTTCGGCGAGCGTTTTCTGGGCGTTTTCTGATAATTTTGATGGGAATTCGAACTCCTCTCGGTGGACATTTTGGAGAGAAAAAGTGTGCGGAGTTGGGTGCGTTGGCTGGTGTCTCACAATCAAATGCTATAGAAATAGCCATGAGGCGAGAGTGGCGATCGAGGGAGGGGAGGGGGTCGTATCGAGGCACCCCTGGGTCGTAAAATTCTTGGAATTGGAACAACTGACGATTGACTCTGGTCACAGACCCAAGGCCTTGTCGCGCATTTTCCAACAGCAATATTGGTACACGTTCTTTCTCTTGTGGTAGCACTAC